ATGTGTTATCTCAATTTCATTCAATTGAGAGCAGATGTAAAACTGCTTACGAATGTTGATTCCTTAAAAAACGCGAGATTGTTTACCATTGTTGCAGGTATCCAAATCACGAAAGACTAGCGGGTAGAATAGCCAAAGAAATGGGTTTCACGAATGTTTCACTGTCGAGCGATGTGATGCCAATGATAAAAATTGTGCCTAGAGGTTATACAGGTTCGACTTACAACATATTGTGATCACTTCAAAGGATGTCATGAATTTAGAAGCTCTTTAATCATCTCCACCTTTTGGGTGGTTTTGCGTGCAACACGTACTCGTGTATGATAATTTTCTTAGTCAGGAAACGTGAGGGAAGGGTTCGCTTGAAAAAGATGGAATCTCAAAAAAAAAAACAACTGACTTTCATGAATGCGGTTTAAGCAAATTCAGTGATTCTCTCAAAGTTAGTCTTAAATCGCGCAGATTTTCGGAATTCAGTTCAAAATCGTTTTCAGCTTGTGCTGATGCGTACTTAACACCGAAGATCCGAGAGTATATTACCAATTTCAATGCTGGATTCGCGAAAGGTTTGAAGGGAGTGCGTGTTGAGTTCATGCAAAGCGATGGAGGATTGTGTCCAGTAGAAAAGTATTTTTTGGCCATTCTCAAAGCGACTTCATCGAACTTATTGTGCTTAGCGAAATACTCAATTGATTGTTGCAAAAGTGGTCGCTCTGAATTCATTTCATGCTAATGTTGNCAACCGGTGATCGGCTTCGATATGGGCGGAACGTCAACCGACGTGAGTACAGTGATGCAATCATGAAGTTTAACTTGATTTTGATATAGCTGGTGTTTTGACTCGATAGCTGATATTTTGACTGATCGAAATATTTTTGATTTGAAATGTTGCTACCGATTCGACGATCGTTTAAGGTCAGTCGATATGCAGGATCATTTGACCACGTGATGGAAACAACCACAGCTGGAATCACAATTCAGGCACCACAGGTCGAACATTGAATTTACGTTATTATGCTTTCGTTTTTGGTTATTAGTCGTTTGTGTGCAGTGAACAATCTCGTGATAGTATTCTAAAATATGAATTCCTCACGAGATAGAAAAGACAGTCTAATACGGACATATGAAATTTTTTGGTGAGCTGTTAGGCAATCCGATAACCATATGCGCACTAACCTTTATCCAAAACGAAAAAGAATTGGAACAATTGT